GAGCCCGATGCGGGACTCGATCCCGGGACTCCAGGATCATGACCTGAGCCGAAGGCAGTCGCTTAACCAACTGAGCCACCCAGGCGCCCCAATTGCTGATATTCTTGATAAGGTTTTTTTAAAGCCTCTTCTCTCTGCTGCACATCCTGTCTCGTGTGTAGAATGCTCTGGGTTACCACTGTGATCGGAGTCTGCTCTCTTCTTTGGTGAGCTGGATCGTGGCTGGCAACATCACTCCTTCCTTCGTGGAGGGCTTGGCCACGCCCACCCAGGTAGGAGCGCCCCTGCGGCCCATTGGTAATCTTCGTGAACTTTTAATGTTGTTATCATCTATGCTGATACAGTGCTACCAGCTTTAAGTAGCGCCCCTCTTACTGCGTATTAGAATGCTTTTCCACGTAACCCTCCCATTGGCTCTCTGCTGAGGTGGTGCTGTTGCTCTTCTGTTTCACGGAGATGTTAACGGAGGCTTCGTGGAGCCAAGTGGCTGGCAGAGTGTCAGACAACTCGGGGTCGGGCCTGGTGTGCCTGATGGCAGAGCCTGCCCAGCAGCATGGTTAAGAGTGGACGCTGGAGCTAGACCGCCCCAGGCCCGGTCTGCTCTTTGTTAGCCCTGTGCCTCGGGCGGCTTGCTTACCTCTCTGTCCTCAGTTCCCTCTGCTGTGGAATGGAATAACGGTTGCATCTGCATGTAGTGCACTCAGCCCCGTGCTCAGTGCAGCCACACGGCGCGGACTCGGTGTTGGCTGCTCTTACCACCATGAGCAGCAGCGGCAGCTTTTCTTCATTCTTACCCCCATCTGACGTTGTGTGTCACATTATGTCCCCGATTCATCCCTCCCACCAGTAGTGACAGCCTTCAGCCTCCCATCGGTCTTGCCCCCGCTCTTCCTCTTAACCTCTCGTGAGCCAGCTGCGGCACACTGCATGCTGTCACCCACACGGGTGCCTGGTGTTTCCGCCTCTCCGCCCCTGCCTCACCGGTCCTCTTGCCAGGCACGCCTTCGCGGCCATTCTCCATGCAGAGTCGTCTGTGGTATGCCCGCTCCGTGGCCCTGCGCTCCTTCCGCCAGCTTCCCACAGCACTTGACTCCTGATTCCGTGCTCAGCACCTCTCGCTTCGCATTGTAGTTACTTAAACGTTAGTCTCGTCTCCTCGAAGAGATGGAAAACTTGAGGGCAGAGCTCAGATCTGGCCCTCTTTCCTGTCCCTCGTGCCTATGGAACCTGCCCAAGAAATAATTATTGTGTGAACAAACGTCTTCTTTTACTGAAGTGGCGTTTCTGAGGGAATTTAGCATTTTTCAGTGGTTTGTTTTATCTAAGTTTGGACCTGTGACAAGAACAGTGATAGGTATAAGAACTCTGTTAATTCGGGGAACCATAAATATTTGTTGATTGAGATATCTGGTAGAAGAGATGCGCATTTGTAGAATGTCGGGATGATTTGGTCTGAGTGAGCTGCTCATTCCCCTCACTCTTACCTGCTGTCCTTGTAGGTCTGGTTCGCCTGGACAGTACTGAACATGGAATCCATCTTTGAAGAAGACTCCCAGCTCCGTCGAGTTGTCGAAGGGGAATTGGTGATAAACTCAGCTTTTACCCCTGACCAAGCTCTGAAGGTGCAAAAAGCAGTTCTGCATTTGAGTGGGAGAAGGTGGTTTATTGATGGATTCATCTAATAGCTTTTGAACTTCTGCGTTTTCTTTCATGTAAATGCTTGGAAAGCACAACATCCAAACCCGTGCTTAAAACTGTATAATTGAAGTGTATACTTCCTTTCCAAGCTTTATTTAGCATAAAGAGTCACAACCTAACTATTGAAGTCTGTGTTCATGCAGGGGTGGAGGGGTTTGCCCTCGTTTTAAAACAATTTCCAGTGTGTGTCCTGTGCATCAGTCCCCTGGAGAGCTCGTTAAAAATCAGATTCCCGGACCCCAGCTTTTGAAATTCTGAGTTTCTAAGTCTGGAGTGGGACCAGGAATTTATTTTAAAAACTCCCTAGCTGATCTTTAGGCTCATGGAATGAGAAAAAGACTGGGATAAGGCTTTAGAATGAAAGACCTATTTTAAGGTCTCCTAATAGGGAGTTGGATTTTGGGTTTCAGACCCTGTCAAGGAGTTTATCATTCTTGACAGTTCTTTTCAAATCTAAGTTTTCAAGAGATTCCTAACGTTTGACAGTAAAATTGACTTGATTTTCCTATCGTTCTGCTCCCTTGTACTGTGGCGTTTTGTGTGCAAAGGCCTGGAAAGGGCACGGAAATGAGGTAAAATGTGTAAGACGCATTCCAGTCTGGGGGCTTATGAAATGTTTTGACAGAAAAAAAACTGCCCCACATGTTTTGCTACCAAGGAGTAACCTTGTGTCAGCTAGTGAGTTGGAAAAGTAAGGTTTATAGGACTTTTTTTTCTTACTGAATGAAAACAAAATGTTCAGTGTTTTATTTGGATCATTTAGAAAGAGCTGACTGTCTGGAACTGTGATCATATCATGGTTGCTCAAAGCCCCTCCTCTTTTGTAGAAAGCCCAGGCCCAGCTGAAGCTCCCCATCGTCCCATCCCTGCAGAGGCTGCTGATTTATCGTTGGGCGCACCAGGCCCTTGTCACACCTTCTGATCACCCTCTTCTGCCTCTCATTTGGCAGAAGTTCTTCCTCCTGTATCTTCACCGCCCAGGACCGCAATATGGGTATGGTACCCAGTGTTGTTGTAGGTGTCTCTTGAACCTGTTCTTTACTTTGCACTCTGCTCTCATGCTCTGTGTTCTCACACTGTGGCCTGTGAGTTAGAACCATTCTTTAGCCACTGGTTAGGAGTCTGCCCCTCTGTTTCACATTTATTAGACTAGACAGTTCTTGAGTTTAGGGTATCTTGTGGCAGCTCTCTCTTTACCATCCCTATACCCCCTGGGGTGAGGACAGCACCTGGAGCTGGGCAAGGTGTAGCATAGAGCCCCTGGAGCTGCAAAGGGAGAGAAACTGCCCCAAGCAGGCTGCTCGTGTGACTGTTGTGGGGGTCATCCAAGCGGACTTGTGCTGGCCAGAGCAGGTGTAGACAAAGATCAGGCACTGCCTGGCAGCCCTTGGGCCGTGCCTGGGGGTGTCTAACATTTCCCCTGGGTATTAAGGGACTCTGGCAGCTGGAACTGCCCACTGTTCCTGACCGTGTTCTCCGGCTCCAGCTCAATTCCTGGCTCACCCTCACTCCCTTAACTCAGTCCTTCAGAACGTACAGATATTGGTTCTTGGGCTCTTCTGTTTTCTACCAGCTTGCAACTTCTTCTAGAGCAGAGACTGTCTTTATTCTGTACCGCTAAGTTGTGATAGTATCTTAAATTTGTGTAGCATTGCATTCTTTTTAAAACTGCTTTCATACACACCCTCTTGTTGGAGCCTCATACCAACCACTGAGGTAGAAATAACAGGTATTGATCTAATGTGGTATATTTATAGCCATTGAATTAACTGATTGCAGTTGTGTGCCACATAGAAAGAGCATCTTGTGTTGATCTTGTGATCTGTGCTTGTATTTTTTAAGGTTACCCATAGATGGTTGTATTGGAAGAAGGTTTTTTCAAAGCCCTGCTCATATCAGTTTGTTGAAAGAAATGAAGAGGCGCCTGACGGAGGTGGCAGACTTCCACCATGCTGCGAGCAAGGCCCTCCGCGTTCCAGCAGAGGGCAGTGAAGGGCCACCTGCCAGCCAGGCTGGCACCCCCGGCTACCTGACTTCACCAGAGCTGCACACGGAGCTCGTGAGGTGGGGCATGGTTATTTAGCCCTCTGTGCTGTCGTTGGCAGCACCGGGTACTCTGCTGGAGCAGCTGTTTGTGCTACAGACTGCCAGATGTCATTCTCTCAACCCTGTTAGATTGAATAGGGAGGATGGTTTGGGCTAGGTTTGCATCTTTTTTTTTTTTTTTTTTAATATTTTT